TGCCAGTGTCCCCTCAGTCCTCCGCAGCCTGGGGGCAGTACAGCCAGACTACTCCACAGATGAGGCTCAGGGCTCAGGCTCAGGGCGGGCCCTCTGCACTGCGCTGGCCAGGCCTTCTGGCTTTCCTTACGTGGAGGAGGTCAGCTCCCGGGAGCAGGGCCACGCTGGCTTCTGTGTGACCACCAATGCAAGTGTGTGTGACAGAGAGCAGAGCTAGGAAAACAGCTCAGAGGAAGAGTTGTTAGTCTTTCATTTAGTTCTAACCTATGGAGCTGCTCCAATTCACTTTGCAAATCAAATTCCTCCCCTTTGGCCGACAGCACAGTGCTGTCCTCCTGGAAGGCATGTGGTAAGGTTGAAAGGATAAGACCCCCGGTGAGCAGTGCCCAGACGCAGGCTGAGACCAGCTGGCACCCTCTGGGATGTTCTCACCTGGGTCCCCTCTGAGGTGGCAGGCCCATTATCGAATCCGATGTGTGGCTGCCACCATCACGGGACAAAGAGGAGCACCACTTATGTCCCCAATGTGATGCGATTCATGTTTCCCGGCCTGTCATCGCTGGCAGTGACAGTGTTCTCCCAGAATACTGACCTGTTGGAGTGGCGGTGGGGGGCAGGGTGACCACCCTTCCACACGTCAGGGCGGTCAGGGGAGGCCCAGCGAGAGGGACGGTGCTCCGGGCACAGGTTGGTGATACGCAGGGAGCGGCAAAGGTCACATTTTTGCTCAGGGTGCCCTGCCCTGGGTTGGTTGTCACCTGCCGTTCTCATTGGTTCCCCAGCAACTCCAGCCCTAAAGAGCCACGTCTACCCAGGTTTACTCTGAATCCCAGTTTCATTGTCTTAATGTTTTAATTGTGCGGTTTCTATACAAAGAGATGACTGGGTTTTGTAAACCTACTGTTGACCCCGTCACCTTGCTGGGGCAGCTCCACACAGCGCCCCTGACCTGCCTCTCTGCCTGGGGAAGGATGGGGCAGACAGGCTCCACCCGTGCAGCTGTCTGTCTCGTAGTCACACAGCAAACACCTGCTGGCCACCCCCCATCCCCACCCTCTGGAGCTCTTGCAAGCAGCCGCCCATTAAGAGGACCCGCATTCCAGCCCAGGTGAGCATCAGAGAGTGTGGCACCGAACACGAGCAGGCAGCAAGCAGCTGAGGAATGCTTTGAGAGGCAGGATGACTGCGTGAAGGAAAGTTACAGAGGCCCAAACAGGCCCGGCCGGCCGGCGTGACTCAGTGGTTGAGCATCGACCTATGAACCAGGAGGTCACAGTTTGATTCCTAGTCAGGGCACATGCCCAGGTTGTGGGCTCTAACCCCAGTGTGGGGTGTGCAGGAGGCAGCCAGTCAATGATTCTTTCTCATCATTGATGTTTCTATCTCTCTCCCTGGACAGGAAAACTACTGAGGGCAGGCCCAGGGCCTTGTCACCTGTGCTGAAGGGCCAGGCTCCCTGAACATCAGAGCAGGCGGGGCCTTTCCTCCTTTACAGCTTCAACCCAATCTGACTGGCTCTGAGGGGAACTCCCCCCACATTTGCAATGAGAGCCCCTCTTTGTGCTCAGGGACCTGCCTTTCCACCTTCCAAGCCCAAAAAGCACTTAACAAACAAATGAAAAGAGGAAATTGGATGCATCCACCAGGAGTGTTATTTCTTGACACTTTTGTTTCTGTTGTGTGTTTGAGAGGGAGAGAGAGAGAGAACTGGATCATAAGTAAAAAATATTTCTTACCGAGGGTTGTGGTTTAAAAAGTTAAAGAAACGTTGTTTTAAGGGGCAGACACCCATTCACCCAACATTAGAAATATCATCAAAAACTGTATCTCTTGTTCGGGGG